GGAAACCGTGTCTGCCTGAACCTAGGCCACTGGGGCTGCCAGGGCCTTGGACTTGGCTTGGGTACCGGCGGCTCTGTGGGACCACGGGGGTGTGTGCTGCGTGGGATGTCTCAATGCTGACCTTAGCATGTGGACTGCTCCCTCTGCCAGGGAGGGGTGCTGCCCTGGTGCTGCAGAGCCTCTGCTTGCTGTTCAACCTCTTCTAAACATTCCCTTTTTAAGGTTTTTCCCAGGTATATTCTCTGTCCTGGGATAGGGAGTGAAGTGCCTTTTCAAACCATTTGGAAGATCTTAGAAAGCTGCCAAGCTGTGTTGTGTTCCACGTCTGGACAGACTCTCATCCTGAGTAGAGCAAGTCTGCCTTTATCCTCCCAGGCTGGCTGGCTGTACCAAGAGTGTGGGATTTGGGGCCTCGCCATAGTGCCCAGTATTATGATGGGGGACCCTGCACAATCCCTGCTGAGCTGGGCTCTGTACTGTGGGTGCCAGTGGCAGCTTTTAAAGCACTGTCTGGAGCCTGTGCTGGGAGGGGAAGGGCACCTGTCCTCCCCCACATGTGTGGAAAAAAGGAGTGCTTCACTCAATTTTCTTATGGTTTTGTCCCCCAGCTGATGGCATCTGGCTTCCCAGCACCTCAGAGGTGAAGTCACCACCATTGTTCCCACTTTGGAGAAGGGGCGGCTGAAGCAGGAAGCCCTGAGGTGGTTGGCATCAGGGCACAGCCTGGGCCCCAGGGCTCCAACCTTCCCCCAGCACAGCAAGTGCCTCTGCTCAGGCCATGGTGCCATTGGACATTCATAGCCAGAGCTGGAAGACTGACAGTTTAATAAATTGCTAATGGTGAGGCAAGAGGATTTTAACTGTGTTGTTCTCCTTACTGTCTGCCCAGTGTGGGTCCCAAGCAGAGGGGAGCTGGCACAGCAGCCTCATGTCACCTGGCTGGGGTTCCCTGTCCCCAGAGATATGAGCATCATCTCCACCAACAAGCAAATCATGCTGGGAGTCTGTGCCTCTTCAGATGCTTTTGGCCCCAGAAAAATATAATGAAGGAAGCAGCTGGCTAAAGGGGAATGATCACTTCCTTTATCCTGCTCCTTACACTTGTGCAGATAAGCAGCATAGAAAAGCCTATTTAAATAAATTCATCTCAGGCTGTGTCGACAGCCCTGGTTGCCTTTTCCAAATTCTGGACACCTTTACACCTGTCTGTGAGATTACTCTGCATTTAAATCTCTTCTTGCTGAAACTGAATTATTCAAGCGTCACACTGTGATGTGTCTTGAGAGGACATGACTGTTTGGATTTCACCTAGCTCTTGGCTTTAACCAAACTAGGGTTGCCTTGCAAATTTTTTAACCGTAAAATGCTTAATGTAATTAATTTTCTGTCCTCTCTTGGAATTCCAGGAACTCTTTTTTCAGTTCTTTCAGTTTCAGAGCAGGAAAATGTTCCCTCTGCTTTGCAGTGGGGGACTCGTGGTGAGTAGCATTACATCACATACAGCAGAGATGCTGGGCAGCAAATAGATGCTCTCCGAAGGTAAACCAAACCTGTTAGCTTAGGGGTTCAGGCTGCACTTTGTTTTTGTCTTGTTTCTGAGTGAGAGATTATAAAATTTGCAAGGTAGTGTTCAAGTTCAGTACAGTACAAGACTGTAATTATGATTCCTAAATAGAGTGTGAAAGCTGTTTTCCTCTGCCTGAGCTAAAGGCCATTTGAATGGATTTTAGGTCTTGATGGTGTTTTTTCATGTTTTAAAGCTGTCTTAGATACTCCTGTGAGTTGAAGCCTTTTGGCAGTCAGCTCAGTTTTCTCAGGTGTCTGACGAGTGGGTCCCTGGTTGAGCCTGGGCAATGACATGACTTAGCTGAAATTACATTCTTGGGGTACTGGTATCTTAAATACCAACTGTGAGGTGCTCTGATGTGTCATGGCTCAAAGGCCAGGCTGCTCACAGGCTGGGACACTTGGGTTCTCTAGTCTCCCTTTCATATTCAGCACACCAGAACAGGAACGTATTAAAGTTGCTGAGATTTTCTGAATATTGACTTTCCTCCCTCACACCCCGAGAAACCCCGACCTTAGGGTTACTGTGTGATGGTGATTTCTAAATCTGTTTTTTACATAAGAACAGACAAAGTAAACAACAGCACCCAAGAAAGAGCTGATGGCCCCCTAGCCCCAGAACTTCAGGCTTTTGACTTCCAGGAACCACTGCTTTTTAAGGGAATTAGAGAAGAAAACCCTTAGGAATATTTTGTGCAAGGTTGCTATCTTGCCTTTCATTTACAACAAAGAAATCAAGCTACATTTGAATGTTAACTTGCTTCCTCCTTTTTTTGCCTATCAGTTGTTCCCAGCCACAACTGGTGTGATGTATTTCTGCACTTCTTTCACCTGTTATCAGAGGCTGAGCTGGTCTGTAAGTCCTTCTCCCCATCAGCCTAGTTGGGTGTCCCTGTGCTCTGCATTTTGTCCTAAGGAACATCTGTGGGTTTAGGGGTGAGGATCATTTTGGAGCTGATCCCTTGCTAAGGGAGAGCCAGGATTATAACAGAGGTGGTTCTCAGCAGGTGCTCTGGGCACCTGTTTAAAAGAGCAGGCTGTGGGCCTTATTGGGAAGGAATGTTTCTTGTTCTTTGCCTATTGCTCTTCAGGGTGGTGCACAGGAGTGGTATTAGGGTCTGGAGGGGATGGGATGGGACCTGCTGAGATTCCTGGGAATCATGAACTTGAACTTAGCTGTCTTGAATGAACCAGACACACTTCTCTGGCACTCCCTGAAACCCGAGAGCTGGACAGCTGCAGGTTTTCCTGATACTCTCTTTGTGTCCCACATCCTTTCTGGCGAGTGCTGAGGATGTGGCTCCCCACCAAATCTGAGCTGATCTCTTTCAAGGGTGGTGACATCCCAGAAATGGAGGGGGGACACCCTGGCTGAGCTCAGCTCAGAAATCAGGGGGGAACCAGAGCTGAGCTCAGCCCAGAGCTGGGCATGACCTCAGCTAAGCACAGCCCAGAGCTGGGGGGGGGCGTGCCCTTGCTGCCCTGGCTGCTGCAGGGCCCTTGGAGCCACCTGGTCTAGTGGAAAGTGTCCCTACCCATGCCAGGGGTGTTGGAACTGGATGAGCCTTAATGTCCCTTCCAACCGAAACCATTCTGTGATTCTATCAGGAGAGGGACAAGGAAGGAGGAGGCTGCTCAAAACTTCTACTCCACAGGATCCCCTCTGGGCAGGAAGGCTTCTGTCCCCCCAGAACAGTCACGGTTGTTTTGGCAAGGAGGACAAAGAAGAAGGAAGCTGCTGGCTAGCCACCCCTTCTACCCTATAGGATCCCTTCCAGGCAGGAAGGCTCTCGTTCCCCAAGGACAGGAACTGTGTTTTTCATTATTTAAATGATTCCCTTCTTTCACTACTTTGCCAGACAAAGTAAACTGTAGATAGATGTTGGCAGCCAATTTTGTCCATACCTCAAAGCAATTCAGTAGGAATTGTCCCCAAGCCTTTCCAAACTTCTGTGAAATCCCAGCCATAAGCAGCTGTGAACTGTGTTCATATAAAACAGTGAACCCTCTCTGTGCTTCTTACCTAACAAAAGGAACACACAGGAAAACGTGTGTCTTAATAGTGTTAAAATCTGCTCCAAGCTGCAACTTTGGACTGAGCACATGCAGGAGAGGTCAAACAGATACCGGATATATTCAGTATAATTTCATGGAAACTGTTTCCTCCAGGAATACTCTGACACTCCTCCCAGGGATCTCCTAGAGTGTTTTGATCTCTGATTTCAGGACCTGAGATCCCAGGTGTCAGCCCCACACCACTCCCAGGATGCTACCTGAGGTGATTTTTCTCCTTTGGAAAAAATCCCAGCTTCAGAATCTATGAAAGGCTCACCCAAGGCATCTCGTGGAGTCTTTTGATCTATGGTTTTGGGACCTGTGATCCTGGGTGGCAACCCCAGCCTCCTCCAAGAAAGTTTCCTGAGATTATTTTTCTGGTTTGGGGAAATCTGTTTCCGTTCCTCAGAAATTGTAGCTCATGACACAAAAAGAGAGACACAAATGCAGACCAGTGTTTTCGTGCTATAAAAAGAGCCATTCCGTGACTCTCAGATTCCATGACTTTATGGCCGGGGTTGGAAGGTTTGTCTGCCAAAGCATCCTGCTCATTGGCTCATCCTGTGCATCCTGGAGAGATCCAGGTAGGCCTTTTTGGCAGCTGGGCATTAGCAGAGCTTAAACTGGGGGCAAACTCAGCTGAGATACCCTGTGAGGTGCTGTATGCTCCTCTCTGCTGCCACGGGAGGGTTTTTCTGGGTTGAGGGTGATTCTGGGGGTGTGAGGGGGTGCCACGTGTACACAGGTCAGCCAGTCCTGTTCCCCTGGGTCCCTGCAGTGCCCCCCAGCAATCCTGCCTCCACGTGTGGATGCTGGCCAAGGCTGGGCTGCAAGTGAGGCAGCTGGTTGTAAGCTTGCCTGGAGCTCCATGTCAAGCCCAGTGGTGTTCCTTCAGGACATAGCAGTGCTGAGGGGTCTCCTCTAAGCCTCTTGTGGTGCAAGTTGCTTTCCTGTGGAATGAATGTTCTCTGTTACCGGAGAGTAATGAGGGAGCTGGAGAAAGAGCTTGGTAGCTGCTTTGGATCACTGACCAGCAGTCCTGGTTAAGTGGAGAGACTTGCCAGTTGCTTGGAAATGAGCAAATGGAAGGCCCTTGTGCAAGAAGGGTGGGAAGGATGATGTGGGGAACTACGGGCCTGGCAGCCTGCCCTCGGTACCAGGGAAGGTGGTGGAGCAGATGATCCTGAGTGCCATCCCCAGGCACATGCAGGACAACCAGGGCATCTCCTGGAGGGTGGGAAGGCTCTGCAGAGGGATCAGCCAGAGATGCTGGGGCGGGGTGGGTGTTGAGGGGTTCTGTGGGGATGTTTGGGAGGATTTGGTGTTGTTGGGAATGTTGGGGAGGGAACTGTGTGGATGGTGAGAGGCCTGGGCTGAAACTGGATCCAGTTTGAAGGCAGACTCTGTGGTTTTGCAGAGCTTTGGTTATGGAGGGCAGAAGGAATATCTAGGACTCTTTCTGTCAGTGGTCCTGGTTGTCATCCAGGGCAGAAGAGGGGAGAGCTATACTTTACTGGCCACTTATCTACCTGTACTGGAGGGAGGATTAGTGTTTTTTGCAATATCCCTCTTTGTGTGAGGTGCTTTTGTAACACTGAGTGAACTTCCATTCCTTGACAGCTTTTATACCTTAATGAAATTCTTACGTTATTAGCTCTTAACAGAAAAGTGTTTGAAAATCAAACAATATCCAATTTATTTATTTATTTTTGCCTCAGTTTAGTGTTTATTTTTTGCAATTGACTCTCAATGGACCCTGTTAAGGCAAAGGAGTTGCTGGTTTGGGGTGGGAAGCAAACTTGCAAATCTTTTACCTTTCCAGGTTGTGCCAATGAACTTGGGAAGTTTACAGCTTGATTTGACACTTCTTGCGTTGAGCAATGGAAAATAATGTGGATTCCTGGTTTCCTGAATTTAGGATTATTAAAGGCCAGATTCTTCTTTGCCTTCACAGAAAAGATGTTTTTGTGCTGCAGGTCATCACTTGCATGCAAAAATCATTCCTGGAGGAAGCAACAGCTTCTGCCTTCTGACAGCTGCCAAGCACTGCCACCAATTGCTCTAGCTGCCACTCCCAACAGCCCCCTGCAAGAGCACAGACATCAGTGCCCATTGGCTTTGGCTGCCCTGTGGCAAAGAAGTCCCCCAGGGGCACAGCTCTGTGGGGCAGGAGACGGGCACCAGCCCTGCCAGGACTGGGGGCGGTGGCAGGTCTCCTTGGGTGAGGACTTGCCAGAGCTGCTGATTTTGGTGCAGCCCCGGGCAACGGGATGGGAGCAGCATTGGTGCCCTCGCCCCCACGTTCCTTCTGTGTGTCACAGCCCCGTGTTCGGGAGGGCCACCAGCCGGCACTTCTCCCGAGGAGCCCGTGCCAGCTCGTGTGGAGGCCCCGTGGCCTTCCCGCTGCGGCTGCCTCGGCAGCTGAGGGGGCTCCTTCTGCTGCCGTGGGCAGGCACAGCAGGGGAGGGTTTGCTTAGTTTTTCAGCTGTGCCTAAAGTTTGTGTCCAGCTGTCTTGGATGCTTTGGAGAATGGACTCCTTCCCACCTGGGGCAGGTTGGCCAGGCTGGGGGAGGCCCCATGGCATGTGGCAGTGTGTCACAGGGCCCTTTGTGACACGTGATGACTTAGTACTGGTGGTGAGGTGGCCACGCCTCAGTGCTCCTCAGAGCATGTGGCAGGACAAGCATGTGACGGAGCCCCCGTACAGCCAACTCCTTCCCTGCTGATCCAGAGTGTTTTGGAAGCGTTACTCTTGCAGGTGCCCTCGAGGCAAGACTGCAGGACTTGGTGACCCGCAGCCTTCCGAGGTTTCCCCCACCCTTTCAGCAGGTGCCTTTGAGGCTCAACCGCAGGACTTGCTGACCTGGAGCCTTTACAAGAACTCTTCCATCCTTGTGGCAAGAGCCCTTGAGACCAGACTGTAGCTCTTCCATGGCTCCTCTCCTGCTGGTGCCCTCAAGGCCCCACTGTGGGACTTGGTGATCAGTAGCTTTTCTCAGGTTTTTCTGTTGCAGTTGCCCTTGACGCCAGACTGTGGAGTGGTGTGGAGACGCCTTAGCCTGTTTGGGATGAAGAAGGTGAAGGAAGGTGCTGGGGCTGCCCCAGCTCGGCAGCCTGAAAGAGTGGAGTGGTTCCAGCCCCTGCAGGAGGGTGAGTGGCAGAGCTGGGGCACATGGCAGGTAGCTGCAACCAGTTGGGCCTCATCCCATCCCATCCCATCCCATCCCATCCCATCCCATCCCATCCCTTGTGGACAGGGCCAAGGAAAGGGAGGGGGAAGGAGGGCCCAGGGCTGATCTCCTGGCAGCTCCATGCACTGGCCATCCCGGGGCTGGCCCTGCCTGTGGAGCGCAGGGCTGGGCCGTGTTCTCCGACCTGTCCCGCAGCCCCTCAGCTCTGACCGCGCTCGCTCTTTGCCAGATCCAGGCCGGGACCAGACACAGGAGCAGGACCGCGCCCGGGGCCGCTTCCACAGGGCAGCACAGGTACCTGCAGCCACGGCCTCCTGGGCTGGGCCTGCTGTCCCTGCTCAGCCTGGCACCGCTGTCGGAGCTCTCCAGGGCACATCCCTGTCTTCCCTGGCCTTTGTTCTCCTGCAGACATTTAGCAACCTGATAGGACCTCCGTGTAGAGAAATGATCACCATGTTGACTAAAGGCACGGCAAAGCCTGACACCATGCTAACTCAGAGTCTGGCTTCTGCTCCCAGTATGGATTTCTTTGGGGAGAGAGTTGTGTCCCGTCGAGATGAAGTAAGCAGCCTGCGGCCAAGATTTGAGCCCCCCAGAGCTTCTGTATCCCACTCAAGCTGGGCCCCCTCAGCGTTTGAGGCCAGCCCAGAGTGGTGGGAAGGGAAGCACTTGTCGGGGGAAGCTGGGTAAGTTGCTTGGTCTGGCAGCTCTCCAGCTCTCTGCTGTGCCTCCTCCAGGTGCCGGCCTTGGTGAGGAAAATGCACCAGAGTCTCTCCTCCAACACACCTCCAGATGACAGGCTGTTTATCAACATTCTGAGGCTGACTGATGTGTACCCTGCTGATGTTGTGTTCACCCTCCTGCGCTGTGCCCCATCGTGTGACAGGTACAGGGCCCCGGGGCCTTCAGGGCTTGGGGCTTAGCAGCCTTTAGAGCCCATCACCCTGTCCATCCCATCCCACGTGGTCTACCAGAGGGACAGTGAGTTCCGGGACCCTCTGACGCCTCTGTTTCCCAGCCCTGCCATGTCAACCCCCGATCCTGCTGCCATGGTCCCTCCCTGCTCCTCAAGGCACTTTGGCTGGCACCCCCCTGACACAGAACTCTGGCCCTGCAGAGCTGCTGCAACCATGTGGAAGACCATCGCCTCATCGGGAATGACAGTGGAGAAGGTGCTACCAAAGCTGCTCTGCGTGATGGAGGACTGGCCACTGCACAGCACTTCCACCTCTGACGGGGACAAAACAGATGTCTTTGCCCTGGCTGTGAGTTTCTGGAACTGGCCTTTGTTCAGCCCCTGATTGCCTCTCTGGTGGCTCTCCATCCTCCCCCACCAGCACGTCTCCTTGCCTCAGGCACTGGGCTGGAAATGTGGTTAGGGGCAGGTACAGGGGCAGCAGGCCAGGTGCTCCCCCTGTGTCTCCCCTGGCCTTTCCCTCCCACACTTGGGCCTTGCCGCATGGATATCTGGGCACTGAGAGCTGTCTCCGGCTGGTTTCCTTTTTGCAGGCAACCAGGGTGATTTGGGAGATCCTCCGCCTGCCCTGGTGCCCAGAGCCACTGGTGAAATATTCCCCCCCACTCCTTGTGCATTTGCTCTTCCAAGTTTTCATCAGCACAAAGCAGATGCCGGAGGAGGTCAACGCCTTCTGGAGGGGATGCCGGGAGAAACGTGGCCTTCCCGCCAACCCCAATAGGTGCTCCATCCCACTCCTCCCATCTCTGCCATGTGCCAGGGGTTGGAGCCAGAGCTCTCAGCATGGCCTGGGCTTTGCTCTGCACACAGGTTTGCAGGGCAGACTGTGAAGGCACTGCTTCGCCGTCTACGGTGTCTACATTTGGTGATGGCAATGGAACGGAAGCGTGGCTGGGACACACTCCTCAACACTGACACCCACCACTACGCAGTGGGTCTGCTGGCCAGGTGAGACCCCCTTGTCCCCGCTGCCCCTGTCATTTCTGCCCTCTGCACGGGACACCCCACGCAGTGCCCGTGGTCATGGGCCAGAGGGCCTTGTCACCCAGGGATGGCCGAGCAGAGTGGCAAAGGCTGGGAGAGGCGGGTGCACAGGAGGAGCCGCCTGCCAGAGTGCCCTGGTCCCCTGCCGGGGTGCTGGGGAAAGACCAGGCCTCTGGGAGTGAGTCCCGGCAGAGGTTTGCCCACCTAGCTTATGGTTGATGTTGCCTCTTTCCCCCTGCCAGGGAGATGCGTCGTGCCTCGAGCCCCTTGTGTTCCCCGGTTGCCCTCTGCCTGCTGGGGCTGCTCATCAGGGAGAAGCCACGCTGGGAGCTTCCCGCCATGGCATTCCTTGTGGAGGTGAGCCTGATGGCGAGTGCTGCCTCGCTAAGCTGCCTCCACCTCTCTGCCCTCTTGCAGCCGCAGTTGCCCGGGACGGTGCCACGCCTTGTGCTGCTGCCTGGGCCCAGCCCTGTGCGGGTCTTGGCTCCTGCTGGCCGGGCACCTTGTCACTGCTCCGTGCCTTTCAGATCCTGGACTGCCTGGACATGACTGACTGCGGTGAAAGCATCCTGGAGATCCTTTCAAGGCACCTACAGAGTGAATGCAAAGAGAGACGTCGCCTGGCACTCAGAGGCCTCGTGGTGCTGAGCAAGGATCCTGTGATGGTGAGGAGGGGGCAGGGACTGAAGCCATGCTGGAATCCTGGGGCTGGGGAGTGCAGTCACTTGGGCTTGGCTGGGCTTCGGGAGCTGTGGCAGCTGCTGCCAGCTCTGCTGCCTCCCGGCTCAGCTGCCCGAGTCCCTTGGGACAGGCCTTTGGCTCAGCACGTGAGGCTGCCCCACCAGAGTGGGGTTGTTGCTGCAGCCCTTCATGGCTTCCCAGCACAGCCTTGTGTTCCTCACAGGCCAAAAGAATGTGCAGCCTCTCTGAAAGCCTTGTGGAGCTACTGCAGGATGCAGATGTAGAGGTGGTCGGGATGGCCTTGCCGATGTTCATGAATATGCTGCAGAACAAAGACATCCTAATCTCCAGGCCCACTGCCCCGAAGCTGGCTGAGGCTCTCCGGCCACTCTTTGACAGTGTAAGGCTCTGTGCTCCCCACCAGGGGTGCCGGGTGCTGGCAGGAAACTTTGGGCCTTGTGGATTTTCAGTCCTATGCCCAGGTGGGCCTGGAGCAGCTGGTGCTGAGGTCTTTTCCTCTTCCTTTCCATCAGGACAACAGCCATGTGCAGGTCCTCTCCATTCGCCTCTTCCGAAAGGTGATGGAGTTGGTAGTGGCTGAGGGAAAGAAGCCCCTGGAGAGATATGTGATCCAGAGCCTGTTCCCACTCTTTTTGCACTGGCATGAGGAGAAACAGGGACTGGCAGAGGTGAGGACTTTCTTGACTCTGGTGTCACTGCGGAAGGGGGCTGGGCTGCCTCCTGCCCTGGCACGTCGAAGGCTCCAGTCTCCTCCTGGCCTTGGTCCAGGGATACGGGTCCTGTGCCCTGGGCAGCGGTGCCATCTCCTGGACTCTGTTGCTCTGCAGGCCTCTCGGGAAGCGCTGCTTGGTGCAGCCAAGTTTCTGAAGAGGAGGGATCTCAATCAGCTGCTGAAGACAGAGCAGCCATTGAAATTTAGCGAGCGCCTGGTAAGGACGGCCCCGAAGCCCCAGTCCCCGAAGAGGCCAGTGCTGGGCGCAGGCAGCGCCCGGCCAAGGGGCAGAGCCCCAGCCAACCCTTCCCACCGTGCCCTGCTGCTCTCTGCAGCTGGAAAAGGACAAGAGAAGAGTGGCCGAGTACTTACACCAGGCCCTGCCATACCTGGAGAGCCCACAGGAGCCCCTGCGAGAGGCGGCCCTCAAGTTCATTGGTGAGCCACAAGGTCCCTCCCCGCCCCGCTGCAGCTCGGCCCCAGCCCCGGCTGCTGCAGCGGCAGCAGGATGCGGCCCAGGGATGTGCTGGGGAGCCCCGAGTGCCCTGGTGGCTGCCGCCCTGTGCCAGACCAGCCCTGGGGCGTCCCGAGGCGGGACGGCCCCGGGCTCAGCTCTGCCAGGGCAGGAGGGTGCGTGGCCGGGCCGGCAGCGCCGCCGGGGGGGAGCTGTGCCACCGGGGCCCTGACAGGGTCTGTGTTCCCAGGGATCGCTGGGGGGTACCTGCGGGGACAGCCCGAAGAGCTACAGGTCATCTGCGAAGGTGAGTGAGGGCAGCGCGGTGTCAGTGGGGGCTGGTGGAGGAGCACGGAGCCTGGGCAGGGAGCTGCAATCCTGTCCCGGCTGTGGAGGGCTCTGCTCCCTACACGGACAGAGCAGAGAGAGATTTCAGGGGCATGAGGGGTTTTGGTGGCCAGCACCTCCTGGCTGATCCTGTTGGGCCCTGCTCCCTCTTGGCCATGACAAGAGCTGGGTGGGATGGTCCTGGCTGGAGGGGCTCCTCGGGTCCCCACCCATCCGGGCTCTGACCTTGGCTCTGTTCCTCACTGTTTCAGCCCTTCAAGCCATGAGAAAAGACAACTGCCCCTCCTACACAAGCGTGATGGTTCAAGCCCTCTTTGACCAAAGAGCTGCAGTATTAAATTCATCTGCATCGAGACAAGCGGTGTCCCTAGAAAAGCACCAGATACCATTCAACAGGAGACCACCTGGAGACCAGAGGAAACCATCTGGAGCTCCAGGCACTGATGCCAAGCCCAACTGAGCCTGCCAGGAAGGCCTTGTGGCTCCTGGCCTGTCCTTCCCTCTTGACCCATCCCTGCCTCCATACTGCTCCATCCCTTTAGCCTTCAGACCCAGCCCATTCCCTTCTCGTGCTCCCAGCACATCCCTCCACTTCTCCTTCCCTTAATAAACAGTTGGGTTTCTCCCCCCTATCTGCATCTTTGTGGAACTGAAATGGCACAAAACCTGAGCCCTGGAGCACACGGGGCCTTTCTTTTTCCCCCTTGTGCCGTGTGCAGAGACAGAGAGGGACAAGGGCAGCTCAGACTGGAAAGGTCCCTGTCCTGAAAGTCCAGTTCCAGAACACTGTGGCATTAAAGATCTTGGTGGGCACACTGAAGGCCAGTGGTAGGACAAAGAGCCTGAATATTAGCAGAGCCAGCTTCAGTCTGCTCTGAACCGAGCTGTGAAGGTTTCCATGGCAAGCATCCATGGAGGGCAAAGGAGCTTGGAATGTTGGAAGTTACTCAAGAATAGCTTCCTGAAAGCACAGCAATGGTCCATCCCTACAAAGGGGAAAGAAGAAGGCAGAAACAGAGACCACCATGGCTTAACAGTGAGTTTTGTGTGTGCTTGAAAGCAAAGGAAGAAGCAGCACACTGCCTGAGACACAGACACGTGTCCATCCCAGTGTAAGGAGCACTGCCAGGCAGTGCCTGGGTACCCTGCCCAGGTCTGGTCCCCACAGTTCCAGAATCACAGCCCCTGCATCAGACACAGTCAGAAATCAAAGCAAAGGAGACCAGAGGGAGGGAACCGTTCCAGTCTGTCTTGGGCGTTGCTGCAGAACAGCCACCGCTTCTTGCTCCACCTGGATCTGGGCTTTGCTGACCTCAGAGCCAGCCAGGTTGTGCTCTGGTGCCCAGAGGCTGTTCAGAGAGGGCAGGAAAAATGCTCCATGCAGAGCGGAGAGTCCCGGATGTTGCTTATAAGAGCATCCTGCAGGAACAGGGATCTGGCCTCTTGCTGAAAACACTCCGGGTTTGCTGCCAGGCCTGGAGGCAGGAATTCAGGGCTGTGAAGATGCCAAAGCAGCCCAGCTGTGTCTGCAGAGGGCCTGGGGCTGGGAGTGTGAACCTACAGCTGGAAACACACTTGGAGCAATAGGAGCTGGAGTGGCTGTTCTTCAAGAAGTAGAAGGAATTCAGCCTTGCCAGGGTTTCTGAAGTGTATATTGGTGTTCCCCAGGAAAGCGACAGGTTTGGTAAATGACTTTGGAGACAAGGGGTTGTTCCTCAAGGAAAGTGCTTCCCAAAGAGTTCCCCATGAGGTTGGTCCAAAGGTGTCCCTTTGGCTCTCCGTGTCCTTTCACTCCCTGTGGCCCATTGCACTTTGTGGAGAGGCAGGGGAAGGGGGAAGGCTGTGAAGAGCAGGTTTGCGTTCTGCCTGTGCCTGCGGAGACCAAGCCAAGCAGCTGCCAGCAGGCTCTGTTAACCACCTTTCAGCAGAGGTCTGAGCAGGAGCATCTCTGTGCAGCTGAGAGCCCCAAAGCTGTCTGGGAGAGCTGTGAATTCAAAAGCCTTTATCCACACCCTTATGCCATCTTACCTATCTGGGCTTTTGAATTCCCAGATGTATGTCGGTGTAGAGTTGTGACAGCCAATAAAGATACAAAGAGTCAGTTATGTGCAGAAAAGATGTCTGAAATTTATTTTTCTCATCTGCTTTTTTATACCCCTTGCTAGCAGCAAGCAGTATCCTTATTTTAGGTAAGCAAGCAACAGCGTTTTCATTGGCTAGGATCTATGTGCGATACATTTGGCAGAGCTCAAGGCCTTATTGCAGGTCCCACATCCTAGGCCTACCAACTTTACAGCCTGCCTTTGTTTTCTCCATCAGGGCTATGTACTGACTTCCTTATCATCAAGGATACACCCAAAAGTTTGCCCAGTCAATATCTTCATCCTGGGAGCTAACAGACCTGCTATTAACCTCTTCACCCAGAAATGTGCCTTTGCCTCTTGCTTGGTGGAAGCTGCTCTGGGCCAGGGCCAGCACAGAGCTGGGGTGCGTGGGCCAGCATGATGAAGAATCCTTGTCTCTGATCTTGGTGTGTCCCCAACCTCAGGAAAGGGTTGGAAGGTTTGTCTGCCAAAGCATCCTGCTCATTGGCTCATCCTGTGCATCCTGGAGAGATCCAGGTAGGCCTTTTTGGCAGCTGGGCATTAGCAGAGCTTAAACTGGGGGCAAACTCAGCTGAGATACCCTGTGAGGTGCTGTATGCTCCTCTCTGCTGCCACGGGAGGGTTTTTCTGGGTTGAGGGTGATTCTGGGGGTGTGAGGGGGTGCCACGTGTACACAGGTCAGCCAGTCCTGTTCCCCTGGGTCCCTGCAGTGCCCCCCAGCAATCCTGCCTCCACGTGTGGATGCTGGCCAAGGCTGGGCTGCAAGTGAGGCAGCTGGTTGTAAGCTTGCCTGGAGCTCCATGTCAAGCCCAGTGGTGTTCCTTCAGGACATAACAGTGCTGAGGGGTCTCCTCTAAGCTGACAGATGCCTCCCACCTCTTGTGGCACAAGTTACTTTCTTGTGGAATGTTCTCTGTTACCGGAGAGTAATGAGGGAGCTGGAGAAAGAGCTTGGTAGCTGCTTTGGATTGTCAGTGTAGATTTGTGATGGCCGATAAAGATACAAGGAGTCAGTTATGTGCAGGAAAGATGTCTTCTTCCTCTTTATTTTCTCATCTACTTTTTTATACCCCTTGCTAGCAGCAAGCAGTATCCTTATTTTTAGTAAGCAAGCAACAGCATTTTCATTGGCTAGGTTCTATGGGCGATATATTTGGCAAAGCTCAAGGCCTTATTGCAGTTCCCACATCCTAGGCCTACTAACTTTACAACTTGCCTTTGTTTTCTCCATCAGGGCTGTGTACTGACTTCCTTATCATCAAGGATACACCCGAAAGTTTTCCCAGTTGATATCTCCATCCTGGGAGCTAACAGACCCGCTATTAACCCCATCAATTCCCCCTTTCTGTAATTGTGCAAGAAATATTCCCTGTGTCGTCTTTTGCAGGGCCCTTTGCAAACATGACACAATACATGGTAACATTACTAGCACAACCACGACTATTATCAAAACTAAGACCCCTGTCTTGAGTAAGGACAGTAACCAACCCGAAATGCTCCAATTAGGCAACCAGCCTTCCAGGCCGAAAAACCCAGTTTCCTGTGTGATCTTCTTTGTTCCTGAAGCGTGGCAATTTGTCTGTAGATGGATTCAGAGTGATCTGAGATATTTAAACAACACATGCCCTCAAATTCCTGACAACCATGTCCATGTGCTAATTGCAAAAAATCAATAGCAGCACGATTCTGCAGTGTAGCATGCCGAGCACTATCTACATCCGTGGCAAGCTTATACAAAGTATCTGAGGTCAAATTTGCTTGTTTGGTCACCCAGCACGCCAAGGCATTGATTTGCTTTAACGCTTCTGCTGAGGCAACTTGTGGCAAAAACTGGGAGGCAGACACAATAGATGCCTGACTCCACAAAGTTAACGTGTCCCGACATTTAGAGTCAAGGGCCAGTGACCGTTTGGTCAAAACATGACTGTAGAGATGGGAATGATTCAACAAAAACTTTTCTGTGGGGGTAAGCAAGCCTAATTTACCAAAGGTACAAGGTCCTCCAGTGGGCTTCGCCGGAATACCTGGCCATGCCCGACTGCCACAAATCAAAAAGTATCCTTTCGGGAATTGGCGAACAACTGTTACACTAGGTGAGGGTCACTTGTGTGTATATAAACACCAAGCAGATGCATTCCGGTAAAAGGGCATATCTGGCAAGTCTTGTGAAAGAGTTTCTGTGGTAGCAGAAGCATCATCTCTCTTACTATACTTATTAACCAGCAGTGTCACACCCGTATAATCAAAATAAAAGCAAGCAGCAGCAGTTAAGGTACCCAAAATACCCAGCTCCTGCGGTGCAATGCCTACTGGTAGCTTAACAAGCCATTTGTTTACATTTGTGATGCAGCTCTGTGCAGAAGCATTACAAGCCTTTGTTGCTACGTCAGGTAATCGTGTAACATTAGAAACAAGTTTCACTGCATCAGTTATTTACAGGTGCCCCAACAAGGCATGTGTGAAAAGGTAGCTCTGGTTTCTCCAAGGAGGCACAGAAGGTAGTCTGGTTCAGTGCTTTCATCAGGGTCACCCAGACGTTGTGGCTGTTCCACCGGCTGAGTCGTTCGAGCTGTTCCGTGTAGGAGTCATCACTGCTGGTTCCCCCAAGGCAAAAAAGGATGCACGCACCGAGCAGGAATCCACTGCGACCCATCATCTGCAGAGACACAAGCATAACCCTTTCCCCAGGTTTTCAGTTGATGAGGGCTGGAACACTGTCCAGACACCAGGTCCTGTACCTGAACGGGAGCAGGAGCGGTCACGGGTTGACATGACACTAATGAGGAAAAATGCAAAAAGAGAGCAGGAAAATGAGAATCCAGGGGAAAACTCAAAAAATTTAAAACATAAACAGCTTTGTCTAAACGGGCTTGAGGGGGCTCACCATGCATTCCCCCTTTCTGTTTCTGAAGCAGATGCTTCAGAGAGCCATGCATACATTCTACAATAGCTTGCCCCGTAGGAGAGTGAGGGATGCCAGTAACATGAGACACTCCCCAGTCATTCAAAAAGGTTTGAAATTTCTGAGAGCTATAGGCAGGGCCATTGTCAGTCTTCAGCTGCAATGGGACACCAAGGGTAGCAAAAGCTTGTTGAAAATGACGAATCACATCAAGAGCACGCTCGCCTGCATGAGCAGTAGCACAAACAGCATGAGAATATGTATCAATAGAAGCATGCAGAAATTTGAGACGTCCAAATTCTGGGACATGAGTAACATCACTTTGCCATACCTGTAAAGCTTGCATTCCTCTAGGATTGGTTCCATAACAGACAAGGACATTCTGACTTTGGCAATCAGGACAGGCAGCCACAATAGAACGAGCAAGGGATTGTGAAATGCCAAACTGTCGCTTGAGAGCAGTACTGCCTTGGTGAAAAAATTGATGTGAGAGGAGAGCCTGTTGTCGCTTGTCTGGAACAGGCCCGATCTGGGCAGATGCTACGAGAGAGTCTGCTCGAGCATTACCCTCAGTAAAAAATCCAGGCAGTGAAGTGTGACTGTGAATATGAAAAACAAAGTAAGGAGCAGTACGAGACTGTAGAGTTCGCCACAATGTTGCCATACCTGTAAAGCTGATCATCACCTCTAGAATACTTGGTAAACGCCATAATAGACAAGGACATTCTGACTTTGGCAATCAGGACAGGCAGCCACAATAGAACGAGCAAGGGATTGTGAAATGCCAAGCTGTCGCTTGAGAGCAGTACTGCCTTGGTGAAAAAATTGATGTGAGAGGAGAGCCTGTTGTCGCTTGTCTGGAACAGGCCCGATCTGGGCAGATGCTACGAGAGAGTCTGCTCGAGCATTACCCTCAGTAAAAAATCCAGGCAGTGAAGTGTGACTGTGAATATGAAAAACAAAGTAAGGAGCAGTACGAGACTGTAGAGTTCGCCACAATGTTGACAAAACCTGAAAGAGAAGATGATCATCACAATCAGAAGAACTACTTGATCTAAACGCTGTACAAGTCCCGCCACATAAGCCGAATCTGTAACAAGATTAAAAGGCTGAGGAAAAAGTTGAAATGCCAAAGTAACAGCACGGAGTTCCACAACTTGTGGAGACCCGGATTGCTGAACAAGTTCATGTTGCCATCCTGTGGGTGTATACCAGACCACAGCAGCTTTTCCTGTTTTCCCAGAACCATCTGTAAAAAGAGTGAGTCCTTCCACTAGTTCCATAGGTGACAGCAGCTTTTGTTCAACAGGTACTTCACTAAAAAATTTCAGTAAAGGGTGTGAAGGTAAATGATAAGCAATTTGTCCCTGAAAATCTGCCATAGCAGCTTGCAATTCAAAATACCAGGATTGTACAGGTAAAACAATACAACTAGGATCTCTGCCAATTAATTCAATGCACCGTTTTCGTGCTTTCATGATAATCTCAGCGAGAAGTTCAAATAGGCCAGGTGCTGTTTTCCAAGATCTTGAGGGTAAAAACAACCACTCAAGAATGTGTAGAGGATCGTCCCAGGCCTCGTTCCACTGAACAAGGATCCCACAGGGGAAGTTCTGATCTATGAGAACAAAAAGCTGAACAATTTGAGACAAATCAATGCGAGAAACAAATCATTCTGTTAACAATGTTTCTACCTGCCGAATGATCTGAACTGCTTCCTGAGTTAAGGATCGTGGTTCCAATGGATCTGTGGAATGTTTGAGCAGTGCAAAAAGAGGTTGCATTGCGAATTTGTCAACCCCAAATAAGGGCGTAACCAATTTAACGAACCTGCTAATTTTTGAACATCAGTTAGGGTATTGATAGGCAATTGTAACTGAATAGGCTGAGGCTTTACTGTTCTTTTAGTGACAAGGAGGCCCAGATATTTCCAAGGTTCTGCAGTTTGTATTTTCTCTGGTGCAATGACAAGACCAAAAGATTGAAGCAATTCTTTAGCTGCATTTGCAACTGCAGACAATGTTTCTTTTTGCTCGGCTAAGAACAGAATATCATCCATAAAATGGAAACAGTAACATTTTGGGAACTGAATTCTCACCGGAGTTAAAGCCTTTGCACCACACCACTGGCAAATAGTGGGTGAATTTTTCATCCCCTGAGGCAAAACCTTCCATTGATATTGCTTTGCAGGTTCTGCATTATTGACAGAGGGTACTGTAAAAGCAAATTTTTCTTTGTCAGCCTCACCTAGAGGAATTGTGAAAAAACAATCTTTTAGATCAATTATTATCAGCCAGTCGAGGGGTATCATTGTGGGTGATGGGAGTCCTGTCTGCAGAGCTCCCATCGGTGCCATGACAGCATTGACTTTTCTTAAATCCTGTAAAAAAATCTCCATTTCCCAGATTTCTTTTTGTATAACAAAAACAGGTGTGTTCCAGGGACTGAATGATGGCTCAATGTGGCCAGCAGCCAATTGCTCTTGGACCAGATCCTGCAGGGCCTGTAACTTTTCTCTGGACAGGGGCCACTGAGGTACCCACACTGGGGTGTCAGTTAACCCTGTAAGTGCCAGTGTAGACTGTCTATTGCCCTGCAAAAGCACAGTGGCCCCAGTTAAAAATCTGTGGTAATTTTAACTCCCCATTGAGCCAGACAACCCCTTCCCCACAGAGTTAGAGGGGCAGGAGTGACATATGGTCTTACAGTCACAGCCTGCCCTTCAGGATTACAAATCAGGATGAAATGAACTGCAATGTAACACTGTGTAGTTCCCCCCAACCCCACAACACCTGAATCAGAGGACACCAGAGGCCAAGAGCTTGGCCAATTATGCATGGAGATGATGCTTATATCAGCACTGGTGTTGAGCAATCCAGTCACCTTAACAGCAGAAGGTGAGGCTTTCCCATTAGGCAGTTCACAAGTCATCTGTGGATGTTTGTGTGAAATAGTCTGTGACCAAAATACTTGCGGAGGTCCTGTTGATCCAAATCCTCCAGCATGTCTCCCCCGGTTTTCTGTCCTGGGAACACAACTCACAAAAGGCACAAGTTGAGCAACTCGAGTTCCTTTTGGAATAGTAACAGGAGGGTAGGGGGTAGAGACCATGGCACAGATTTGTCCTGTATAGTTTGCATCAATTACCCCAACATGTACAATTATCCCAGAAATTGTGCTACTTGAGCACCCGATTAACAAAGCACTCAATCCACGTCCAGTAGGTCCCTTAGCATCTAAGGGAACCTTGACAATATCTGTAGAAGAAATTGTTACTGTTGCAGAGGTGGATACATCCATACTGGCTGCTCCGCTGGTTTTCCCCGTGAGCTGGTAGCAGGGGGGAGCATCGGGGGGGTGCATACGGGTTGTACTGTGGGCAGTGAAGGTACTTGTGTCTGAGCGCGCCTCCTCCTCGCGCTGGCTTTCCCGTTTCCCTGGAGAGGCTGTCCATTGGCATGAAACTTAGAGCGACATTGTTCAGCAAAGTGTCCTAGCTTCCCACAACGGTTACAATGAATACCAGGAGGATTAGGTAAGACCTTTGGCTTTTCCCTGTTGCTTTTATCAGGGCAGTTAACCTTAAGGTATCCTTCTCTATTACAGTTATAGCATCACGGGGTAGGATGCAAAATTGCAGCAAGGGCAGTCATTTGGTGATCTATAGTACCCACTTTGGAACATGCAGATACCATATCAGCCACAGACGGGTCTCCTGGCAATGCATCTATAATTTTCTGACAATTTTCGTTTGCATTATCTTTTGCTAACTGCTTTAGGAGAGCCTGATGCAGGACTTCATCATCCACCTGTTTCTCTAATGAAACTGCAATACATTCAATAAACTTTAAATAAGGTTCCCTTGGTTCCTGTTTCACTGTTGTATATCTAGGACGAGGGGAAGCAAGCTCCATAGTTTTAGTCAGAGCTAACATTCCCACCTGCTGACATTGTTGTAACACAATAGGATCCAACTGAGCCTGGAAATCGGGGCTACTAAAACAATTTTTTCCCAGTAAGGCTTCCACTCCTACACCCAGTCTGGGGTCCCCTGGAGGGAGTCTCATATTCTCCATAGCTGCTCTTTTTGCCAGTTAGAATTAAACACTTCGTATTGTACAGGTTCAAATAAAACTTGAGCTAGATGGTCAATATCATAAGGAGTGAGCAAATCAGCATTAATTGCACGAATCACACACATAACTTCAGAAGAATTCACACTGTATTTTGCCACATACATTTGCAAATCCTGAATAGCTTTCCAAGCAAATACATAATGTTCATCTTGCTTGCCAGAGTTAGGAGCTGCCTGAAAAACAGGATAAGCTTCTACTCCTGACTCTATTCCCGGAAAAAATGCAACGTCCTTCATAGCTTGTGAGGGGTGCCCGATCTTGTCTAACAACTCCCATTCCCCTCTTTTTGCAGCTTGTACACGCACCGTCTCCCAAAACCTTCTAGGATGACGTGGCATGACTGTGACAGTGGTGACTGCCGGCAAAGTCCATGGATCAGAGAGCGTTCGTGTCTTTCGGCTCTGGGACCCCTTACGTACAGATTGTAAGGCTCGACTACAGACGGAGGCATTTTCAGCTTCCTCCTTGTCTGCATCATCTGCTGGGGGGGCATCCTCATTGTTTTCATCAGTGTTCTCGTCCTCCTCCTCCTCCTCCTCCTCCTGTGGTGGAGGAACAGAGGACACTTGCCTTTGCTTAGCTTTAAATTCCTCTACAAGTTCCACAGGTGTGTTATACCGGTAAGGGACTATAGCAGTAGGGGATTTGTATTTACAAAGAGTTTTAACTGGATTGTGGGGTGCTGGATAGTGAACTTTCAAACCTTTTGGGGTTTTTAGAGCCGGACTCTTGGTAGATTTTTTTGTATGTGTATCCGAACGCCACACTGTTTCTTTTTTATCTGCTAAAGCAATCAGTTCATTGTCAGAGGGGGAGGTAGCAGGCGGCGATGCCGCAGCAACTGAAGTTCCTTCCTCCCTTTCGAGTCCTTCTGTATCTGACAGAGGCTCTGTTTCAGGCAACTGAATACCTTCCGAAACTTGTTCATTAAGCCAGTCTTTTAAAGTTTCAACTAATATATGCCAGGTGGCAGGCAAACCTTCTACTTCCTTAGCACTCTTAGCACCCTTATAAACCTCTTTCCACAGTTTATCCCCCACATTCTCCCAAGTCTTTACTCTAAATGCAACTGATGTGTTAGCTTCAAAACCTTTCTTTCGACACCATAGCAGCAAATGTTGCAAATCATAATCTTCAACAGTTACACCTTTCCGCTTCAGGAAGTGCTTCCAAGTGGACAGCACCAACTTTTCCTCTTTAGACATCTGATTCCCCATTATCACAGTCTTTGTTCTTGGCGGCTCACCTTTTCCAGGTGTCAGTAGTTCTCGGGTCCGGACCAGGCAGTTTCCTCACTGCTCTCAGGTATGCCAAGCTCCGTTACCATCATCCGTCGCCCGATGGTCAGTATTGCAGTATCGCGTCGAGGGTCACCATATGTCAGTGTGGATCCGTGATGGCCGATAAAGATACAAGGAGTCAGTTATGTGCAGGAAAGATGTCTTCTTCCTCTTTATTTTCTCATCTGCTTTTTTATACCCCTTGCTAGCAGCAAGCAGTATCCTTATTTTTAGTAAGCAAGCAACAGCATTTTCATTGGCTAGGTTCTATGGGTGATATATTTGGCAAAGCTCAAGGCCTTATTGCAGGTCCCGCATCCTAGGCCTACCAACTTTACAGCCTGCCTTTGTTTTCTCCACCAGGGCTGTGTACTGACTTCCTTATCATCAAGGATACACCCGAAAGTTTTCCCAGTCGATATCTTCATCCTGGGAGCTAACAGACCCGCTATTAACCCCATCATTGGATCATTGACCAGCAGTCCTGGTTAAGTGGAGAGACTTGCCAGTTGCTTGGAAACGAGCAAATGGAAGGCCCTCGTGCAAGAAGGGTGGGAAGGATGATGTGGGGAACTATGGACCTGGCAGCCTGCCCTCGGTACCATGGAAGGTGGTGGAGCAGATGATCCTGAGTGCCGTCCCTGGGCATGCGCATCTCCTGGAGGGTGGGAAGGCTCTGCAGAGGGATCTGCCAGAGATGCTGGGGTGGGGTGGGTGTTGAGGTGTGGGAGACGAGCAAGAGGAGAAATTGCAATATTGAAGATGGATCGAGGCCCTAAAAGAGGTGACAAGAGATGAAGATGTCATTTAAGACTACAGAATATTCTCAGAGGCAATGGACTTTATTGACAGAGTTAGAGTTTAATGCTAAAATAGAGTTCTTATGTTGTACCCCATAATTTTTGTAAAAATTCCCTTCAACTGTTTGTCCCCTCGTATCCCTGTTTCCTTATAAACCCTCCCCCAATCCTTATGGAGTTGTAAACCCCTCCTATACTTTCCTTTTTTGGGCAGACCCTCCTACCCTTTCCATATTTGGTATGCCACACCCACTGTTCTAGCAACTTCTCTGCTCCCCCTATATGAGGGAGAAACCATAAAGGGTTCACTCTTGCTGACCTACAACCTGTCTCAAAACTCTGAGTGAATTTCCCTGTATCCCTAGCTCGGCTGTAATAATGCTGAAATTTTTTCCCTAGGGTATGCCATCCTCCCCTTTCCCCATCTGTTTCTTTCGGGATGGGGGGAGTTAGGGAGGGGGTGGGGGCAGAGCGGAGCCGCAGGTGCTGGGCAGCGCGGGAGCGGGGAGAAGGGGAGGTCTCCTGGGGAAGCACGGTTGCCACAGGCATGGCCGGGAGTCAGTTGTTCGGAGGATTTTTTTGGGTTTGGTGCGGACCGGACTGAGCGGGGAGTCTGTTTTTGACTGTCTGCTTTTTCTTTGCCTGAGAGGAAGTTTCTTTTCCCCATGGGACCCCTTGTGGAGAACAACTGAGAGAAAGAGAGCAAGCCATCTCAGAGTGAGGTATTCTGCCTTCAGGTGGCTGCGAGCAGCTGTTGAAGTGCCGGGACAGTCCCGCCTTCCCACCCCACTCTCCAGGTTGCTGCGGGTTTCTCCCTCCACCTGGGGAGCTGGGACTTTGCTTTGTTTCTTCTGAAAGGTTTTGATTGCACCATTTGTTGTTTATTCAGATTTGGTTAATAAAAAGCTGTTTCTTTTCCTTTTCCACACTTCCACCGGAAGTTTCTTGATTTCTACGTTGTAATCGTGTTAAACTAAGACACCTTGCCCTCACATTCCTTCTGTGTGTTTGGGAGGGCCACCAGCCGGCACTTCTCCCGAGGAGCCCGTGCCAGCTACAAGGAGGCCCCGTGGCCTTCCCGCTGCGGCTGCATCGGCAGCCGAGGGGTCTCCTTCTGCTGCCGTGGGCAGGCACAGCAGGGGAGGGAATGCTTAGTCTTTCAGCTGTGCCTAAAGTTCGTGTCCAACTGTCTTGGATGCTTTGCAGAATGGACTCCTTCCCACCTGGGGCAGCCTTGCAGCAAATGTGGATAGAGCCTTCCCAAATCTTCGTTCGCGAAGCCTAGCCATGATGATGATGATGATGTTGTTTATTCAGATTTGGTTAATAAAAAGCTGTTTCTTTTCCTTTTCCACACTTCCACCGGAAGTTTCTTGATTTCTACGTTGTAATCGTGTTAAACTAAGACACCTTGCCCTCACATTCCTTCTGTGTGTTTGGGAGGGCCACCAGCCGGCACTTCTCCCGAGGAGCCCGTGCCAGCTCGTGTGGAGGCCCCGTGGCCTTCCCGCTGCGGCTGCCTCGGCAGCCGAGGGGTCTCCTTCTGCTGCCGTGGGCAGGCACAGCAGGGGAGGGTTTGCTTAGTTTTTCAGCTGTGCCTAAAGTTCGTGTCCAGCTGTCTTGGATGCTTTGGAGAATGGACTCCTTCCCGCCTGGGGCAGGTTGGCCGGGCTAGGGGAGGCCCCAGGGCACGTGGCAGTGTGTCCCAGGGCCCTTTGTGACACGGTGGGATGGCACGGGGCAGGGCGTCACAGGGCCCTTTGTGACACGTGATGACTTAGTAGTGGTGGTGAGGTGACCACGCCTCAGTGCTCCTCGGAGCGTGCGACGGGACAGACGGGACAGAGCGGTGCTGTGCGGAGCCCCCGTGCAGCCAACTCGTTCTTTTCTGATCCGGAGCGTTTTGGTGGCGTTTTTGTGCTGCGAGTGCCCTCGAGGCCAGACCGCGGGACTTGGTGACACGGAGCTTTTGCGAGGTGTCTCCAATCCCTGCGGCAGCTGCCCTTGAGGCCGCACTGCAGGACTCGTGTTGCGTAGGCTTTTCTATCTTTCAGGTGCCCTCGAGGCCAGACCGCGGGACTTGGTGACCCGGAGCTTCGGCGAGGAGTCTCCAGGCCCTGCGGCAGGTGCCCTCGAGGCCATTCTCTGGGGCTTCGTGCCCCGGAGCTTTTCCCTGGCGTCTCCAATCCCTGCGGCGGCTGCCCTTGAGGCCCGACTGTAGGATGGCGGAGAGACGCTTCAGCCTGTGCAGGTTTCTCAGGAGGAAGAAGAAGAAGGAAGGCCCTGGGACTGCCCCTGCACAGCAGCCTGAGGAGGTGGAGCAGCCCCAGCCCCTGCAGGAGGGTGAGTGGCAGAGCTGGACCCCAGAGCTGGTGGCTGCAACCAGATGGGCCTCTTGCCATCTCATCCCTTGTGGACGTGGCCAGGAAAAGGGAGGGGGAAGGAGGGCCCGGGGCTGATCCCTGGCAGCTCCATGCACTGGCCATCCCGGGGCTGGCCCTGCCTGTAGAGCGCAGGGCTGGGCCGTGTTCTGCGGCCTGTCCCGCAGCCCCTCAGCTCTGACCGCGCTCGCTCTTTGCCAGATCCAGGCCGGGACCGGACAGAAGAACAGGACCGTGCCCGGGGCCGCTTCCGCAGGGCAGCACAGGTACCTGCAGCCACGGCCTCCTGGGCTGGGCCTGCTGCCACTGCTCAGCCTGGCACCGCTGTCAGAGCTCTCCAGGGCACATCCCGCTCTTCCCTGCCCTTTGTTTTCCTGTAGGCCGTTCGGAAATTCGTGGGCATTCGGCGTCCAAAGACCAGGATCGCACCAAGCGAGGTCATGGCACAGCCTGACCCCACGCCCAGTGAGCTCACGGCCAAGGCTGACGGCGCAACGTCCGAGGGCGAGGCAGACACTGACATCCCAGCCGTTCAGTGCCTGCCCAGTGCTCCTGGTCTGGACATTGCTGGGGAGAGAGTTGTCTCTGTGGAAGTAAGCAGCCTGTGGGTAGGGATTGTGTGGCCCCTCAAGCCAGGTCTGCTGGGCCCCCTCAGCCTTTGAGGCCAGCAGAGTGTGGTGGGAAGGGAAGCGCTTCTGGGGGATATTGCTCCCTCTGGCAGCTCTCCAACTCCCCCAAGGCCCCTCCAGGCCAGACTTTGGGACTTGATGAGCCGGAGCGTTCCCAAACCTGCTGTGTTACAGGTGCCTTCAAGGCACTTGTGCAGGACTTGGTGAGCCAGAGCTTTTCCGTGCCATCTCTCCCGCAGGAAGCCATGAAGCCAGAGAGAGACACAGAGCAGAGACCCCCCAGGGTGCCCAAGCTGGCCTGGCTGAAGGAGGGGGAGGAGGAAGGCCCTGGAGCTGCCCCATCCCAGCAGCCGGAGGAGGCGGAGCAGCCCCAGCCCCTGCAGGAGGGTGAGTGGCAGAGCTGGGCCCCAGGGCTGGTGGCTGCAGCCAGATGGGCCTCTTGCCATCCCATCCCTTGTGGACAGGGCCAAGGAAAGGGAGGGGGAAGGAGGGCCCGGGGCTGATCCCCCGGCAGCTCCATGCACTGGCCATCCCGGGGCTGGCCCTGCCTGTGGAGCGCAGGGCTGGGCCGTGTTCTGCGGCCTGTCCCGCAGCCCCTCAGCTCTGACCGCGCTCGCTCTTTGCCAGATCCAGGCCGGGACCGGACACAGGAGCAGGACCGCGCCCGGGGCCGCTTCCGCAGGGCAGCACAGGTACCTGCAGCCACGGCCTCCTGGGCTGGGCCTGCTGTCCCTGCTCAGCCTGGCACCGCTGTCGGAGCTCTCCAGGGCACATCCCTCTCTTCCTGCCTTTCTCCTGCAGATGGTTTGCCAATTCACCAGGTGCATTTGGAGGGAAGAGACCATCGCCATGGGTGCTGGGGGCATGGCAAACTCTGACCTCTGCAATGCCGAGACCAGCGCTGCCCTGCTGGATTTGCTTGTGGAGAATGGTGTCTCCAGTGCCGAGAAAGTAAGCGGCCTGTGGCCAGGGCTCCAGCCCTGCAGGGATTGTGTGGGCCCTCACGCCGGCTCCGCTGGGCCCCCTCAGCCTTTGAGGCCAGCCCAGAGTGGTGGGAAGGGAAGCGCTTGTCAGGAGAAGCCGGGCAAGTTGCTGGCTCTGGCAGCTCTCCAAGTCTGCCCCGTGCCCCCTGCAGGTGCCAGCCTTCGTCAGGTACATCCACCGGTGGCTCACGGCCAATGTGTGTGCTGAGCGCAGACTAGACAGGACTCTTCTGGCTCTGGTCGAGGCACACCCCGTGGATGTGGTGGTGACTCTGCTGCGCTCTGCCCCATGCTGTGACAGGTATGGGGCCCCTCTGCCTCCAGGGCTCACCAGCCCATCATCCTGTAGAGCCCGTCCCAGGTGTCTGTCAGGCCAAGAGTTC